CCGGGCGGGGAGCGAGCGCCTCCCGGTCAGCAGGAGTGGTGGCCGCGGCCGACCCCGCCGAGGCGCACGCCACCCGAGGGGCCTCGCGGGCCAGCGCCGCTGTTGCGGGCAGCGCCTTTCGGGGCCCCGGGCGCTCCGGCGCAAACCCTGGCGGCACCTCGGGGTCTCCAGAAGGCCCGGGCCCTCGGGAGGCCGCCCCACCTGCCGGACCCTCCCCACAGGTGGGCGCTGGCTCTGCCTGGCAGTGGTCGGGGAGAAAGGACGGAAAGGGCCCTGTAATCCAGGGGAAGGGACTGTCTTGCGTTTATAATCCTTGTTTGAACTTTTCAAAATACGAGAACTTTGGGAAACGAATGCAACTGGGAGTGGGTGAGCATTTTTACCCGAGAGCTCGATTCTCCTTACCTGCCTTGCAGGTTTTTTGGTCTTCCGAGGCGGGAAGCTTCGTTTTGTGCCCCAGGACTTCCTTAAGCAAGTTAAACTGAGGGATTTGAACTCTTTTTAAAGGCCCCATATGGGACAGAGGTGAAGCCGCTTCAAAACTTTAAATGAGACTGTCTCCTCGTGAGAGCAGTGTGGGGCCGTCTGAAACGTCTTTTCATCTTGTCCGGGAGAGAAGCTCCTGGTTTACATTTGTTTAACTATTTAAGGCGTTCACTCAGGCTGTGGATTTGGGCACCGTGGTTGGGAGGACATTTTGTGGATAGGCTTGGCTTTTTTTCTTCTGGTTGGAAGAACCTAGATTAGTGAGTGGGTTTTAAAAAAACATATTGTTCAGGATGTGGGTATGGTACACCGGTGCAGGTTCTGTTTATTGACCTCTGCTGTGTACTCTTCAATATGTTATGTCAGGCACCAGGTATCCAGATGGAGAGTTGACATGTGTGTACCTGAGTGCCACAGCATGAACTCTTTGTAGGTTATGCATTTTAGATAAATAATAATCTATGCTCTTGGAGTAACAAGAATTTGGAAACAGCTGAAGTAATATATAAGGCCACATTTTTTCAAATTCGGGGTTTTTTTAAAGGAAAATTTGTACACACTTCACGCTAGAACTCGTGTAAGTGAAGTTTTTCTTCTAAGTTAAGAAAAAAATGCACTTTCAAAACTAAGGTCAGGTTTTGAACTTGAACACTTCGCCTTGGATTGGTTAACTGCTGCCTGGCATCTGTTCACAAATAAGAGTATAAACAGAGTGACCAAACGAATGACATGGAAATCGATCATTTCATATCATCTGGTCCTGGGTATATATAGTTTTCTTTGCCACATCTTTACATCTGCTATTTTTTCACTGGATCCTCATGTTTTAGTTATTGAATAACTTAGGCTAAGGAGCCAAAAATAACTATTTAGCTTTAGTTGGGACTATAGTTTTCAGTTATGTAAATATTTCCAAATTGTATTTAGAAATCCAAACTTCTCAGAGTTCATGGTAAAATATTCCAGACCCTCATCAAAGGTTATGTTTTAGTGTAACTGCTTTTTAGGTACAAGATCAGAATTTCACTCCCAGAATTATCTACTAGTAAAACTTTCGATCCCCGAACATAGTAAGAATTATTATTTTAAAATTCTAAATGAAACCCCTTGCAAAGTGTGTAGTTAAACTAGGCAGTAGTGATGCCGTGCAGAACGCACTGGCTGTAAAATCAGACAAACGTGAGTTCTAACTGGTCACTTGCTAGCTGTGCCCTCAGGCAAGTTATTTTACTTATTAGAGACTCTGTTCCTTGATATGTGAAATGGGGACAGCTAACATACTAACACGTTTGAAGGCACCTTGCACATCATAGATAATAAATGTAAATTCTCCTTACCCTCTCCAAAGGTGCTTTTTACTCTGTCATCATTTTTTTAATGTTATGCTATGCCTCTGCAAGGAATATTTGTTGATGCTATTTCTTTTTGATTGACAAAGTAACTATTGCATTGGAGGCAGTACTGTGATTTTGTTTCACTGTGTGTCTGAGCCAGACATTGACTCACCAAGGGCTGAGACTAGGCTACAGACCCAAAATACACCATTGCTGGTGTTGTTAAGCACTTGAGGCTGTTTTTTGTTAATCTAGAATGTGCTTATTTGTCAGTGAGTTTCTCTCTCCTTCCTAGACCCAGATTTTATACCTAATGTTGGTATGTGTTACATCATTGCTGTCACATCATCGCTGTCATGCAGTCCTCATCTTACAAAGTTTAGGTGTCACTTCTCTCAAGTTCCAAAGAGATCTGTAGCAGGTGCAACAAAATACTTTCTTCGCTTACAATATATACAATTTCTTTTCTTCAGCCAGTGTTTTGGTTTTAGAGGGGGTTAAAAAATGTCACTGAGAACTGAGGACCATGTGTGTACAGAAACACACTGAGAATATCATCTGAGACATGTCTTAACTAGAAATGTCCTTATCATTTATTCTGATAGTTAGCACCTGCATGAATTATCCCTATAGGAGATATCAAGTATTTATACTGAGACCACGAGAAGAGTGTTTCATTAACTCATGTTCTCAGCTAATCATGAAATTAGACTGTAGTTGTGCACATGTGTATGTGTATTGTTTCTTTAATTCACCTGCCCTCTCAGCTTCCACAGTAGTGTAGCTTCTCAGTGCACAAGAGAAAATGTGTATGAGCGTTAGTCTTGAGTGAGTTCGACAGTAGACCGTATTCCTGAATATAAAACCAGTGAGCTACATAAAGATTTCTTCGTGTCTGGACAGAATAGTACCACCTGCCTGGGCCTGGGGAATGTAGTTATTTGCCTGCCTCAGATTTTGACTCCATTTTTCAGATTGAAGAATCCTTGGATAACTGTTTCATTTTCATTGGAAACCTCTTTGGTTTGGGGATCCAAAGTAATCTTTAGATTCAATATTGTGTATGTTTTGTAATGGTCAAATGTTCTCCCTAAAGAGATGATATGGGGAGAAAAGCCTAATATATCATTTTAATGGATTCAGTTTTTATTATGCACAAGTAACTCAGGGCCTGTAACCTAGCAATATGATTAGAGTGTGATGCTGGCTTAGAAAATAGGGACAGTGAATCATAGTCCCTGAATAATAAACATGCTGGTTGGCTATATTTCCCAGGGGCTAGGGATTTTTTTTCTATCTTTATCTTTACCTATATTCCATGTTTGGTTTCAGACTTCCCTGCCTCAGAGCAACACATTCTCAGAGATATTTAAATGAGTGCAACAGGCCAGATATGGACTGGGAACAGCAGACCTTAAAAAAGTAATCTTAAGCACCTTTCTTGCACCTTTTTTAAAATTTAAGTTACTTTTAAACAGTCTCTCCATCACTTCTGATTATCTTATGATCTTTGTTCATGTACAAACACACAGCAAATACAACAGTGTAAAAATATGTGTTCTATATTTTTATTCAGTTTTTTTCACAGACTGTTTCCTATAACCTGTTAGGAAACGTTCTGAGTACGCCATTGCATTTGTCACTTGTAGTAGCACCTTAGTACACCATCATCCATGCCAGAAGCATTTGAGCCTTCTGTGCCCAGCCGCGGGTTGGTGACTGGGGTCGTAACTGACCAGAGTTGATACAGTAATAAGCCATGCTTTGCTAGTGATCACTCTGCTGGAGTCATGTGGGTTGTTTCCAGTTCTTCCACTATTATAAGGGAAGGTGTATTTCCTTTTCTTCAAATCGTTTGTGTGTTTGGTGCTTTCTGTATGATAACATGGGAAGATTTTTGTGTGATAACATGGGAAGATTTTTAAAAATCCCTCCAAGTAATCATATTCATTGTAGAAAAGTTAGAAAGCATAGATAAATCTAAATTAAAAAAACAACAAACCTCCTATAATCCTACTGCCCAAACATTACCTCTGTTAACGTTTTTATTGAGATATAATTCACATATCATACAATTCACCCATTTAAAGTGTACAACTCAATGGTTTTTAGTATATTCACAGAATTGTGCAGCCATCACCACAATCAATTTTATAATATTTTCATCATCCCCTAAAGAAACTCCATACCCATTAGCTAGTCGCTCTCCATTTCCACAAACCTCCCAGCCCTTAATCTACTTTCTGTCTTTATAGATTTGCCTGTTCTGGATGTTTCATATACATGGGATCATACTACATGTGGTCTTTTGTAACTAGCTTCTTTCACTTAGCATAATGTGTTCAGGTTCATCCATGTTGCAGCATGTGTCAATGCTTTGTTCCTTTGTATTGCTGAATAATGTTCCATTATATGGCTAGACCACATTTTTATTTTTTTTTTGGTGAGGAAGATCAGCCCTGAGCTAACATCCGTGCTAATCCTCCTCTTTTTGCTGAGGAAGACTGGCTCTGAGCTAACATCTATTGCCAATCCTCCTCCTTTTTTTTCCCCAGAGCCCCAGGAGATAGTTGTATGTCGTAGTTGCACATCCTTCTAGTTGCTGTATATGGGACGCCGCCTCAGCATGGCTGGAGAAGCGGTGCGTCGGTGCTCCCCCGGGATCCGAACCCGGGCCACCAGTAGCAGAGCACGCGCACTTAACCGCTAAGCCACGGGGCCGGCCCTAGACCACATTTTTAAAATCCATTCTTTAGTTGATGGGTACTGGGTTGTTTCCCCTTTTTGGCTATTATCAGTAATGCCGCTATGAACACTTGTGTACCAATTTTTGAATGGCCATATATTTTCATTTTTCTTAGGTATATGCCTAGGAGTGGGATTTCTGGGTCATATGGTAACTCTGTGTTTAACCTTTTGAGGAACTGGCAGACTATTTTCCCAAGCAGCTGCACTATTTTACATTCCCACCTGCAGTGTAAGAGGGTTCCAATCTCTCCACAGCCTCACCACTTACTACTATCTTTTTGATTATAGTCATCCTAGTGGGTGTGAAGTGGTAACGCATTATGGTTTTGATTTGCATTTCCCTGGTAGCTAATCTACTAATATCTTGATATATATCCTTCCAGATGTTTTTTCTGTACACATATTTGCATAGATAATATTTTTCTTCCCCAAACTGAAACAGATCGTAGATCTTTCTGTGTCAGATTTAATTCTGCACCATTATTCTCACAAGCTTGCTCAATACTTCTCTGAGTGGATATACCATAATTTGACTATTCAGTCATTTGATATTGAGGCTGTTTTTAATTTTCATTGCTATAAACCTATAAAAATTGTTGTTGCTAAACTCTTGAACATAACTGCTTAATTATTTCCTTGGGATCAATTCCTAG